TGTTCGATGCGGGGCGGCAGGGGCCCGACGGGGGGGAAGTCTGAGAGATGGGTAAGAAATGAGTGCGGGTACTGTAAGATCAAAACACTCCTGCCGAGAACGGACTCTAGCTGCCGGCGGTTGGCGCTGATTGATTGATGCCTCACAGCAATTTGGTTTCCTCCAAAAGGGTCCACTCCCCTCATTTCAGCCTCACGCTCGGGTAGGCTATTGGGATCTGTCCCCCTGGCATCTGTCTTTTTGAGAGGGATCCCGAATCTGATCTTGCGATCTTGCATATTGCCCAAAAGGTGACATCGGATGCGCTTTGGGCTCCGGTAGGGATTGGTGGTTGGTCCTTGTTGCTTCACGCTGCTATGGGGGGGGGTGGGGGGGAACGGATGGACCTGCGGGGTGTTGCAAATTACATCTTGTTCTGAAGCCTTTTTATTTTTATTTTTACCCTGTGTCGGTATTTGACAGATCCGAAATCTACAAGTGGGATATCAATCTCTGATTTCTAGAAGTTCGATGCGGAAGGATCTACGGCTTTCCGATCATCTCCGGTTAAGGACCCTGGGGACGGGCGGATCATAGGGGTTCGCGCCACTGTGCGGCAATAACCCCACTCCCTCAATCATTGACAGTATCTGATTCGCTTGATGGTTTTCCTGGGTTCGGAGTATGCCTCGCGGTTTGGATAGCGCTCCCGAGAGCGGGAGTAACGTAGGAACAGGTTGGGACATAACAGCACTCGCGGTAAATTTTTGTATCCCTAATTGTACTGTGCGCTCTCTCCCCCCAAATTCCTTGCTCGTCAAAGAAGGGAAGAACAAGGAAACCGCAACCCTTTTCCGAGTCCTCCCATCGTCCTCAAAGAAGGAAACGATAATAGAAAAGAAACAAGTGATTAAAAATTAACCCATCCTCCTTTTTCATCATATCAATTTTTTTCAACCACACTTAGGGTAGCCCTCTACCAGAATTTACCGCTTTCGCGACCTGGCTGGTATCGGGGCGATTCTCTAGGTGAAAAATGTGATAGTCAGTGACTGTAATGATCTTTCCCCTCGTCACTCGATCATCAAACGTTATTTATTCTGGCAATTGCATGCCTTCCTTCACATTGCTTCGAAAACCCTTTCGGATGTAGTAAAGCAACGGGGCTGCCACGTGACGTACCAGCGTATCTCTCGTACGAATCCAGGTAAAGATCACTAGAGCTCACGGTATTCTTTATAGCTTCACTCGACTCTAACGCGTTAACCCAAATCCCCAGCCTACTGCCGGGGTCGGCCACAGGCCAGCCTCGGTATGGATGTAGGACTCTTGATAGCCGGAGTAACCAAGGAGCGATTGAGACATCAACAAAGGTTACGTATGGACCCTGTGACCGCCATCGCACAGAGGATATGTCAGTCCAAAAATAAATTTAAGCTCTCCCCCCAGGTTGGCTGTCTTAGCAAGACTCTCTCCCGGGATTTCGGGGGTATGGGTGGAGCAACCCTGGTTAGACACGGGATTGGAGCTCACCAGGAAAAACGGACCAGCAGCATCTGCTGCGTCAACAATTTTGGAGATCTGCAATGCATAGCGCAGAACCGTCAGTGATCCACACATGTCAAGTGTAAGGTGTGGCAGTCAGATCTGATGGGAATTCAGGATTTGCAATCTTGGTCCCACTGTCGGCAAGGTGCGAGATGTGAGAAGCTCGGCAGATGTGACATGCCGCTGAATAGCAAAATGGGTCACGCTGTCTGCCATGTGGGTTGGCTTGCCGCTAGCACCGTGCTTTGCATCGGGTACTGCGCGATACCGTATGGTATGCCATTTTTTCCCCTTTGTTTTCTCTTTTTTCTTCCGTCCTTTTTTTGTCCACTTTCTCTTTTCGTCGTATCGGGGGTAGTGAACTGACTGACCTCAACCCTTAGCTCTTCAGCGTATTCAGTCTGCTTCCCTTGTTCCTGCGCCTGCAGATAGCGGTAAAACCCCGGTACGATATTACGGTTTACCTGTGCCCAGGTTCTGTAAATTCCATCCTAAATAGACATCTGGAACCAGAAAAACAGGGGTGTGTTTACGTGGTCCACCCAAAGCCTTGATGTTGCCTTCAACTGCGGGTGCTGGGGGAGTAAGGCCGTACCGACTTCGAGGTCCTCTAGGTATTCCAGTAGAACGGTACTCTCGTAACACCCCCAACTAAATCATCGGAAAAAAAACAAAAACAAAAAACATTAGAAACCCAAATTTGATTTGGTTTATTGCATGGACTACGCTCCTCGACCGCCGAAATCTCGTTGTGAAGAAACTTACTCTCCATGTTTCAATGCTGGAACTAGCCCTCTTGGATTAATTTCCAGCAAACTTTGAGGCTTCTTGTATGGATCAACCTCAATGTATTGGTAATTAAGTCCCTTGACTTCAAGTGCGATCCATACTCTCTGAACGAAGGGGCTATTCGGTAATCAAAGTTAGCAAATGGAGGCTAGCTAGACGACTGATTGTTGCTGCCTGATTGGAAATGCGAGGGATGTGTTCCCTTTCCTCAGAAACGAAGCAGAGTTAGAAGCTAGTAAGGTAGAGAATACAAACCAGAAACAACTTCCAAATAGCTTCAACTCGTTAGGCTTCGAGTGTCGCTTTACCGTCTGTAATGCTTGGCCTGATGCTTTCTTATGGTAGGTTTTCTGCGAATATTTCCCACCAAACATACCTCCCCGAGGAGGTGAGTTTGGAGATCTGTCAACAGACATATCCCTGGTGCTTATGGGGCTGGGTAGGATTTTAAGGGAATTGGATTCCAGTTGGCGCTGGAATAAAGTTGATCGCATGATATGCGTGGGAAATCATAGAAATGATATAGAAGCTTAGGGGGGGTTGCTGGGAATCCAACCATAAGAGATTGGTGAAAATAGCGTCATTGCGTGAGCATAGATTATCATGTATTGTGCGTGGTGATATTGCGTAGGCGAGAAGCAATACCTGGAGACGAATGACATCGCTTCCGGAACGGCAGCCTCGGGTATAATGATATAGTGTAGGCTCACACCACTTTCCCCGGAGGAAACTGACGTGAGCGCACGGGGGGTGTGTGAAAAGGAATTGGAGAGGGAAAGGGAATAGCGATCAATGAATAGATTGGCAAAGCTGAGCTAAACTCACCTGTACTTTCTTCATTTCTTTCTGGCGCTTGATGCCTTCACGCTCTACTGTGCATTTCTTGATACGATCACTTTCCTCCAACGTATGTCGGTGGACCTCGCCTAGCAGTCCTGGGATTCCATATTGGTCCATATCCACAGCCTTGTTGGATGCTAGTATGCCTAGGGAGTGCGGGCCATCCCCTGCTCCTGAGTCATTCAGCTGCAGTTCATCCCCCATTCCTAAACCCATAACATCTTCCAGCTGCTGCTCGAGAACCTGTCCATCTGGCGCAGAGCTCTCGCCTCCAACGTCTGCTGGGTCTCCGATCCTCGCTCTCTGCGGGAGCCCTTCCTTTCTCACTCTTTCAATAGTAAATGTCTTCCCTGCACCGCTTCCATCCTCCACTATCGTCTCCAATACCTTTATCTTCATATCGCATAGGTCCCTTTCCCTTGCAGCCCGCTTCCGCTTCTTTTTATTTGGATCTTGATTCTGCGGTGTCCCCGGCGGTCTCCCTTTGAGACGGCAATCATAGTAATGAGTTTGAAAAGGTCCTTTCTTGGACTTTTGCGTAGATCGATGAGACCTGATTAATTTTCTCAGCAACGCAGTACTGGTTAATAAGGTGGGGGGGAAGATGCCAGATATTGTCAACGTAAGGCCAATATGTGATCCATCTGCTTCCGCCAATGCATCAAGCCGAAGAGAAAGAAAAACAGTTAGCGTTGATCCGATTCAAAAATTGTAGTGGGGTGGTGGGGTGCGTTGTAGATAAGGGGCAATACTCCTGCTCGGTCAGTGTCATCACCTCCGTTACATGAAAAAGTCTGTTCCTCCACTCCTCAAGACTAGCTGGCGAAGCAGCCATTGTCATTGTGAGAATTCTGGTCGGGATCCGTGCTTCCCGCAATAGGGCGAGTGATGGATCCGTGAAGATTGGCAGGGCAGTGTGGGGGTTAGCGAAGGGATGTTGCGGAGGAACTGAAGCGGCGGTGGTTTTTGCGGCTTTTTAGTGCTCGCCGCTTCGGCCGACCGTTGCAACGATGGGTAATAGTGGCTAGTGAATTCACTATCTGTGGCGAATCGGTCGTATCGTCCGTGCTCTTATCATACCGGCAGTTTCGCCAACCAGCCCTGTGTCGAAACCCGCCGAGCCACAAGGGCGCTCTTTTTTTCATGAAATACGCCAAGACTTATTGCCAAGATGGATACAGTACAGGTCCCTGGCACGAGCGGACTGAACACAGCGGGGGTTCCCGGAGTTGAAAGTCCTTGGCAAAGCCACTCCCCTATGTTCACTCCGTACATGCCAGGGACTTGTATGATACCAGCATGATAAAGTTGCTCCATAGCAATTTGTCAGCAAATGGCACCATAGGAGCTACCGTAGCTACTGCCCGACGCTAATTGGAGTGCGGTAGTCGTCCGGACCACCGTAAGGACTCGAATAATTGGCACCTATGCTAGGACGTTGGACTTGCCTTCACTGGCATAGTCCAGCATATTTTTGTCTCAAGCTAGGGCTCCGGGGGCCAGTTTTCGCAGTGTTTTCGCCCTCCTATTCGAGAGAGGGAATTTTGGACGCCCCAGAGCGAGCCAATTATTCAAGTTCTTACGACAGAGCGCCCTGAACTCTCCCCGAAAAGCACTTGTGAAGATACATCTCTCTGCGGCCAAACACTAGTTGGTACTATTAACAATTGTGGACTCTATGAAAGGTCAATCAGTGGTAATTGGGAAACTTGAGAAATGGCTCTCTTTTGGTACCGTACTCGGATTGCGCCATAGCAACGGCATCGGCATCGCATAGAGGGGGACTCTTCTGTTCCCGGGGTATCTCTGTGTGCCTGTCCTCCTTGTAGATAAGGGTAGGTTGGCCGCCTGTCTAAATTCCTGGAAATATTGGGACTGGGAAATACGAAGTCAAGAAGTCGTGAGGATCGGGCTGGCTTTTGGGAGGGGGGGGGGTTGTGCTAAGAGAGATTGTTGTTCACCACTCTATAGCAAGGGGATATTGCTCGCAAGAGAAAGAGAAAGGAAATAAAAGAAAAGGGGAAGAAGTAAAAAGGGAAATAGAGGTGACAGGATAGAGGCTCAGAGGGAACGAGAAAACGCAACCTGCTAAGGAAATAAGGTGATGACGAACGAGGCTGATTCCATCAGTTATTCCTATCGAGATCATGTATCATCACTCGGGCCAGGTAACATGCTGCTACGATTTCAAAAAATGAATTCAACGCAAGCCTGCGCAAAAACCCTCCGCTTACCGAGGCCTAACATAGACACTACTGTACTTGAATACACCGAACTTCTCCTGGAGATTAAAGAGGAAACATCCCACGATTTGTCTGTCCCCTTGGCTGGAGGGTTGAAGCGGAGGGAGACTGCCTGATGTTTTTGGCTGCTTTTTGTGTATTCAGCAACTTTTGCATCGGGACTTGGGAAGTTGGCAAAGCGAAAGAAATGTTGTGGGACTAGGATATTAACGGAGTCGAGTCGAGGTTGGGAATTCTCTATGGGGATTGCCACTTGGCTGTCCAACTTCAGCTTGGCTGTGCGAGTATTGCGGTTAATCAGCAATTAACTTGGGGGAGGTAAGGAGTGGGCTCGCATAGCCTGATGACTGAGTGTTCATTGACATGGCCCTCAGCATCATAAGCTGCTCGTACCTGTTTATCCGCCAAGTGCGTACTGTGAGCTCCGGGGGATGAGAAGAACAGCAGTCCCCTCGTCGAAGTTGCATGGGAGAAAAGATGTTCGCCGATGGCATGGTACTACGTCCCCGGGAACTACTCTATGAGCCCATACTCTCTTTGATTTTGTGATATTAACTGTTGTTATTGTGATAAACCAGGGCAAGAACATTTATTTGGTACCCGAGTTTTTCGGCGGTGGCATCCACTTCTGCAACTCAGCATTAGTTATTATGTTACTGAAACGAGATCGGTGCGAGGTCAGATATCTATGCCCAAAACAAAACCCAGCGGAGGGTTTTCCCTCTGAGCTCCTCCGCGAGTGACATGAGTGTGCGGGGGGTGGTTGGCTCAGGATTTCGCCATCTAAGAATCAACATTTATCATCCTTTACTGCAATATGGAATGATGAATAAAATCACCGACGGTTGACCAAGAGTCAGGGATTGCTCGGGCTGTGCTTTAGAGACCCCCGATCAACATATGGGGTCTTTTAATGGGGTACAATAGACATAGTACCGTTAGCCTGTGGACAAGTGGGCCTTTTTTCACATATGAAGCCGGAGGAGGAGGATGCATCTGCACTTTTACCAGCATTTTTGAAACCTAGTTCACACTCCAGCTCGAAAACTGCCGAACCCCGTTTGAAAGAGCCTATACTTTTTTTATTACTAGCGAGGATCTTTGTAGGATGCCAAATTAGTCTCTGGGACCTAGGGACTTGGACCAGGGTTGTCAGGAGAGTTCGGATATTTCGCTTTCACTACATCGCATTCTACGGGGAGATCTTGGTTGACATAGGAGGAGTAAGCGGGAAGACAGGGCTTCCAGGGACTGGGAATGCTCTGTACAGGTTTAGCATGTGCTTTACGAGCTAAGAATCTTGTGAAAGGTAGTGTCCCTGAATCTTCGTTGCTCTCATTGGCGCACCAAACGACCCCCGGGGGGTTACTATGGCCCTTAAGAGCAGGAGACCAAAATCGGGATGTAACGACCAACTTTGGTTCCGCACATGCTATACTCGTAAGCACATTGAGGCGTGACAGCCTTTCTGCAGAAGCATGCAGGGAAAATAGGAGGATTTTTTTGTAGCTGGAATTTCAAACCAAGTAACATCACTCAGATCGATCGGTCGGTCAGCAAATGGTATATGTCGAAAGTCGGGTGCCTAGCTTTCGAATCTAAAACAACAGAGGGAAGAGATCAACGTTAACTTGACCCCACACATTGGGCCCCCTCGCTTACAGTGGGGCAGCGTCAACGAACCCTTGCATAATAGGACCAGTCTTTGGGACCCTTTTGCTATGCCACCAGTCTACCGTCAGCTCAGGTCGCGAAATCTTGACTCTCCCCTCCTCACCGATGTCGAACACCCCTTTGCGGTCAATAAAACCTGAAAATCATGGGAATTGATGGCCAAAAATCGCTCGGTTCGGGGCTCAAGTAAGCGTTGTTTCATTTTGGGGGCGAAAAGTTCTGAATACTTGCCTTGTATTATAAGATTGTTTGATAATAGCCAGTCCAGTGTACATTTATTCGCCCCGAAAGCTCATACCAGTAATCTTGAAGTATGAGTACAACATGCCGGAAGTAGGCGCAAGAACCATGGTTAACAGTTTTGAGAAGTGGCCTTTAGGGCTTTTGGGGGTCGGGGAGTAACGTACTAGTGCCAGGGTAGAAGCGTTTTTTATTGTTAAGGGGATACCACCATAGGATTATCCGTCGGTGGGAATTTTTAATACCCTCTTCCACTCTGACTCTCTGGTTATAGGCCCTCGTTAGCTTAGCTGCTCGTATGATAGATGATTTGCATTTATCAGCGCCCCAGCCTCCTCTCAATTGCCATTCTACCTCACCCTCCTGTTCATCCCATTTCCTGCGGTTCACTCGGATGCACTGCGTCACTGGTCAGGACCCTAATGTGATCAAAGTGGCAGGAATTAAAACTGTCGGCATAGTTCTCACCGACAGAAACCATTTTTGAGCAACGCACGGTACCGCACCTAGGCCTTTGACTTCAGAAGATCAGCTTATCGGCAGAATTCTCTCTCCTTGCATCATCGGAAAAAAAAAAGAAAGACTACGACACATTGAGGCTGCTTGCACCTGGGAATCTGTGAGAATCTTATTTGGGCTATTATTCTCCTGATTTTTTATTTTTGATCGGCCGGATTCCTTCTTTCGGGGGGGGGGGGCGCAAATGCAATTCGGGATCGGCGCCTGGGGACAAGGAAGCCGGCAAGGTCGAGGTACTTGTACTCGTACTGAGTACGTGTGCAAGCTATTAAAAGATAAAATAGGAATAGGGGAAGCACACTCCTGGCATGAAAATAATCCTTCCTGATAGCTGCCTGGGCATCGCCCGGCCTGATGTTTATAAACAGGAAAAAGGAAATAATAAATCATCTCGGGGATTCCACATTCAGTATCAATGCAACTGAGACTGGGGGGGGTCAGATGTGGACCACCGGCGCTGTGCGGTTCCTCTCGTAGTGGCCACTTCGATGCTCAGTTAGGGACCCGGCCGGATAGAATGTCTACTATATGTCAGAAAATCTACCTTCGCTTCCTAAAGTTCATTTTTGGACTAGGGGTAACATAGTGGACGGAATATAACGATAGGAGTTTGAAGACTGGGATCCAGATCGGAGGGCGCGGCATGCCACCTGTGGGTCTTCGGAAAAACAGATACCGTTTGGCGTGCAGAAGGGAGTCACCTGGGCTAGATCACGAATTAAAGTATCATACTTATCTGGTGCTGGTAGGGTGTTTGTGAGACTCTACGTTGCCGTGCCAATACACCCCATGACCTATTCGACTTGTGAGAGCCCATGATGCTAGCTGCGTAGATGCCCGCAGGGTGGAGCACCGGGAAGACAGAGACTGTGACAACGTACTCGAGTATGAGTAGATGGTGCTATCATATAAATATTTAGCTGTTTCCAAAAGATGCCACCGTTACCCACCGGTAGTGCTCGTGCCCCCGAAAGAAAAAACCACTGTAACTACAATATGGTTACGATTGAGGTACCCAAGTACACACAAGTAGGGAAGTACAGTACCGCATTATCTGGGGATATCCGGAATGCCGCTAGAGTGCGGGGAACCCACGTGGATTTAGTTCTAGCTGGGGGCTAAATTAAGCCAGTATCAAAAGCAATACATGTCATTCTGGTGAGAA